TGTGTTGTGTGTGTGTGTGGTGTGTGTGTGGGGTTTTGTGTGTGTGTGTGTGTGTGTGTTGTTGTTGTGTAATTTTGTGTGTAATTTTGTGTGGAATATTGTGGGTTTATTATGTACTGAAAGGTAGTGGCTTGTGCGTTGTAATGTAAGTCTCAGTGGTCCTTGGGTGCCCACACCTTCTTGTGACCTGACCCCAACCTCCTGGGGCTTACCAGCACTTACTTACAGTGTGTGTGTGTGTGTGTGTGTGTGTGTGTGTGTGTGTGGTGTTGTGTGTGTGTGTGTGTGTGTGTGTGTTTTGTGTGTGAATGTGTGTGTGTATATGTGTTGTGTTAAGTGGGGTTTTGGTTTGTGTTGTGTGTTGTGTGTGTGGTGTGTTTTGTGTGTGTGTGTTTTGTGTCGAATTATGTGTGGGTTTGTTATGTGTCTGAAAAGTAGGTGGCTTTGCTTGGTGGTAATGTAGATTCTCAGTTGTCCTTGTGTCCACAACCTCTTGTGACCTGACTCCCACCCTTACAGTGTTTGCCTATGCTCGACCTGCTTAAGTGAGTTAATCTTGTTTAATGGATTACCATTTGCTAAACCTTATTGAATACTTGAGTGCCTATTCTTTATCGTGCTATGAGAGTTAGACCATTCACATTCAGCTTTGGGGGTTAATTGGAACCTGGAACCCCCACACCCAAAAAACCACTCAAAAGGTATACAGTACTTGTAGTGCAGCTGTAGCACTGTAGATTGTCCAGCTCGATGGGGACGTCCTGGCTAGATCCAGCTCGATGTACGTCCCGGCTAGATCCACCTCAATTTCTTCTCGTTAATAATGTACCCTATCACTGTATTTCCTCACTGGTCGCACGATTGTTTCACTTTATTATCTTTCTTGGGTGACACTTGACAACGTCGCCTTACACACTAGCCTCCCACTCTGCACCAGAACGTTTTTATTTTTTTAGATCACTTACAAAATTGTGGCCCTTTTCCCCCCCACTTTTTGTGGCTCAGGCAGATTAAAAATCACTTCTAGGATTTTTTCACTACCCTGACACACTTAGCAACCCTTGCAGAACACTTGCATAGCCCTCAAAAACACTTATATTCCCGGAGCACGGAAGGCGTGACTAGCGCGCTCGCTGTCCCTACTGTGTGTTTTGTGGTGTTGTGTGGGGTGTGTGTGTGTGTGTGTGTGTGGTGTGTGTGGTGTGTGTGTGTGTGTTGTGTGTGTGTCATCCACACTGCTGTGAGTGTGTGTCATCCACACTGATGTGAGTGTGTCATCCACACTGCTGTGAGTGTGTGCGTGTCATCCACACTGCTGTGAGTGTGTGTGTGTCATCCACACTGCTGTGAGTGTGTGTGTCATCCACACTGCTGTGAGTGTGTGTGTGTCATCCACACTGCTGTGAGTGTGTGTGTGTCATCCAAACTGCTGTGAGTGTGTGTGTGTCATCCACACTGCTGTGAGTGTGTGTGTCATCCACACTGCTGTGAGTGTGTCATCCACACTGCTGTGAGTGTGTCATCCACACTGCTGTATGTGTCATCCACACTGCTGTATGTGTCATCCACACTGCTGTATGTGTCATCCACACTGCTGTATGTGTGTGTGTGTCATCCACACTGCTGTATGTGTGTGTGTGTCATCCACACTGCTGCATGTGTGTGTATATGTCTGTGTGTCTTCCCTAGGTATTTATCATCACATGATGGATATGGCCTCTTTGGCACAATGTATAGAGAAAATCAGAGTGGAGAAAGCTTTTTTCATTATTCAGGTTTTCTCTTCCTTCTTTCCATTTCACTTTATGTAAATTTGCTTATATGTGATGATCCTATTTCTTCTAGTAAATCTCAATAGGCACATAAATTCCCTCTTCTATGATCACCCAAGCTTATCCCCACTTGATTTTTAACCATATTTCACTAAATATCCTTCTAAACCAGTTTATATTGACAAATAAATGCATTTCACTAGGCCTCATGGCCCAACTATTTCCATTCATACACAACTGGCAATCATGCAGAGACACTACAAATCAGCAACTTCAGAGATCAACTCAACCAAATTGAGCCCTTGATTCAATTTACTGTGGACAAAGAGAAGGATGACTTTATACTCGGGGGGGAACAGGTGGAAGCTAAAGACACTGATGAGTTATAGGGCTGTCAGGAGGTATTTCTTCAGTCTCAGGGTGGTTTGGAAAGTAGAATGAACTTAATGAAGAAGTGGTGGCGGCAAACTCCATACATAGTTTTAAGAACAGGTATGACAGGGCCCCAAGGTTAGGAGAGCGTGAATCTGCCATGTGGCAAGTTGAGAAGCAGGGCCAGGAGCTACAAGTCAATCCCTTCAACCATATATAGGTGAATATAACATTGGAATGTAAATACAACACTGGAACAAGAGCACAACACAGGAACCAGAACACAATGCTGAAACATGAACACAACACTGAAATATGAACACAACACTGAAACATGAACACAACACTGAAACATGAACACAACACTGAAATATGAACACAACACTGAAACAAGAACTCACTGAAATAAAAAGACTACATTGGAACATGAATATAACATTGGAACATGAATACAACAATAGAACATGAATACAACACTGGAACATGAATACAACATTGAAGCATGAATACAACACTGAAACATGAATACAACATTGAAGCATGAATACAACACTGGAACATGAACAATACAGACTTCTTCAAGCATCAAACTGATAATAAAATTTGCTGTATGGTGGATAAGCAAGTTCTTAGCAGGTGGGAGAAGACAGTCAAAATTACAGTAATAGTACATGTGAAAAGCCTGGAAACGTCCAGGGTATCTGATATAACATGTGTTATAATACTATTTAATATTTTGAAGGATGAAAAAGTACTTTCTGTAAAGGGCTCTATGTTCATGGTCCATCAATAAAAACAGTCTCCTGTATGTAGTAGTAGTGACATTTGCCAGTGAGTGACCTTGTGGGTTACTCAGCGGCAACCTGTGTGTATTGTATTTTCCAGCATATAAGGTGCACGACAGTAAGTATTGTTACGGTAAATCGGTAATCATATTCGAGGGCTAATTACCCTTCTTACTTTACGCTAAAGTGTAACTCCAAGCCTACTCTTGACCCCTGACCTTGAGTATACAAGGCGTGGGGTGATTTTCCAAGACTTTTTGTGGGAAAAACGTGCACCTTATATGCCGGAAAATACGGTATGTGTAACCTACATAATGCCACTCCTCCAAGAATAAGCCGTGATGCTGGTGAAAGGCTCTTCATCCAGTGAATACACTAGAAATAATAATAATGGTAATAGTAATCTATAATAATAATTATAATAATGCATAATAATAATTATAATAATAATCATCATCATCATCATCTACAAGAAATGAAAAACACAGATATCTTACGTTACATTCACGAGAGGAGCAAAATCTTTGCTATCTAAACCGAAATCTTTGCTTTTTAATGTTTTTCTAACATTTTTAGGAAATTGAAGTTTGTTTATTGAAACTAAGTTACTTTTGGTCAAAAACATTAAAATATCATTAACAGACTGTTAGATCACTTTTCACCCAAATAGTACTATGTTCATTCTCTCTTACACACCTGCACTCCTTGTACTCTACCACATCACCAATGATTTCTCCTTCACTCTCTCTTTTTACTGATGACCTCTGCTTAGTACCTCTGCTGCCCCCTCTCTGCAATTTTTTTTCTTTTGCAACTGCTATGTAGTGCTGTATGACTTTAATGGATTTGCTGCTTTTCCAGGCATATAATATTTTTTTTTTTTTTTAACTAGCAGGCTGTCTCCCACAGAATTCATAATTATACGAACCAATAAGAAATGGAAGCACAAGATGGAAAACTGAAAGAAGCTCTTTTCTGAACAGATATGCCAGCAAGTCTGCATCTTGAAAGTGTAAGCCCCACTTAAACTCACTGCAAATTTAGCAAAACACAGTAAACAAGCCATACTGCTTGAACACATTCTATGTGCCAAGCAACAGGAGTGTCAATCACTATCCTTCAGAACGGAAGAGCAGATTGAAAGTATGCAATGTTCTTAATGTTATTTAGACATCTGCAATAAGCCAAAACAGGCAGCTAACTGGAGGAGGAATCCTGCACAGCGAGTGATGTAGACATATAGCTCAGGAAAGAGCAAACGAATGACTTTCTGGGTAAAGCCTCTATAACAGTGTTATAGAGATTATACACACAGGTTGCTACTCTTATTAAACAAACAAAAGACAACTTTATTTTTAAAAAGTATTTAATTACTACAATACTGAGTAAATATTATTATATACATTTTTTTGAAAAGACATGATTCTGCCAGGATCTTCAGGTCAAGAAACCTGAGTACAGAAAAAGTTATTTACTGTGGTTTTTACATGCAATGAAGGAAGAGACCTTTAAGAAATATGTACAGGAATAAGGTAGATGAGCAATAGCTTGAAAAGGTACACTGAGGAAAGCCATATAGAGCAAGCTCAGCACTTGACAGGTACAGTATGAGGAGTGCGATCTAGAGGCTCTTGTCTTGTGGCCCCTTCCTTACATAGTTATAAAGAGGATACAGACATAAAGGAAATAAATGAACACAGAAATATACTTAAGTCATGGATATGAAGGAATGCCTAAAAAGAGTAAAAATATCCAGTTATACCTACCATACATGTCCCTTCAAGGAAGGTGCCATGATACTGGTGAAGGGATCTTGATCCACTGAATTGGAGCTGCCCACCCCCCCTCCCTTGAATCAAACCTAAATATCTCCCATTCTTCAGGCACTGTATGACTCCTACAGGTTTAGTATTTCCCCATGAATATCATAATAATAATCCTAATGGATAATCTCAATTATTAAACTACAGTATTGTGCCTATACATTTAAGATTAATATACAAGTGAATTCAAAGAGGCTCAAGAGGAGAGAATATAAAAAAAAAGTTTAGGTTAAAGCAGATTAACTGACCAGAAACCAATGCAGCACTGTGGACGGGAAGGCGGAACTGACTCTCCAGGTACTTGGGAAGGAAAGTGTAGAGACCTGCAATAGGCAGGATGTGTAGAACACTGCTTGCTGTCCGGAATATTAAGATTTTGTTCTTCAGTAGGCGCCATACCGTTTTCAGGAAGTCTATAAAACATAATAATAAATAGTAATGCTGTGCAAAAAAAAAAAATATGCAAGTGAATAAATTGTTTGAATTACTTATGCCCCATTACAATACTATGGGAATCATCTGACATGCCTATTTATAGCAATATAATTTTCTGCTGAAACTTTCCTGTGGAGGACATTACACATCATTCATTTTAAATTACTGTACAGAGATGTACATATACATGCAACATATCAAGTATGTCTCGCTACTTCTACTTACACTTAGATCACACTTCACATGCATATACATCTATACACACCCATCTGGGTTTTCTTCTATTTTCTACATAGTTCTTGTTCTTCATTTTCGTTTATTTACATGGGGAAGTGGAAAAGAATTCTTCTTCCGTAAGTCATGAGTGTCATAAGAGGCGACTAAAATGCCAGGAGCAAGGGGCTAATAACCCCCATCTCCTGTATAAATTACTAAATTTTAAAAAGAAAAAATTTTGTTTAGGCCAGTTTGAAGAAAAAAATGTACATTTGAAAAAAAGGTGGATTCAGGAAGAAAAGAAGAGTTTGTGGATCAAATGGTATCATAAAATCATACAAATAAGCAGTAGTTCTATTTATGGATTTGGAGAAGGCAAATTAAAGAGTAGGTAGGAAGCAGTGCAGTAAATGCTGCAAGTGTATGTAATAGGTAGTAGGTTCTTAAAAGCTGTCAAGTGTGTTTTTAAGGAGAATGAGACACAGGTTAGTATATGTAGGAGAAAAATGGGTCTTAGACAGGAATGATTGATGTCACCTCAGTTATTAAAGGCATTTATATATGGGAGTGTAAAAAAAGTGAAAAATAATGAGCCTGATTTGAAGTGAGAGTTGTGACAGTTGCTCTTTGCTGATGATACAGTGTAGTACTTTTGGGAGATTCAGAAGAGAAGTTGCAGAAGTCAGTGGAAGAGTTTGGGAGGGTATGTAAAAGTAGAAAACTGAAAGTGAACTTAAAAATGAGGAAGGTGATAGGAGTAAGAAATCAAGACAATGAATGAACAGAGGGAAGGAGAATGAAAGAATTAAATATATTTAGAGATTTGAGAGAGATGTCAGCAGATGAGTCCATGGAAGACTAGGCGAATCATAAAATAAATAAGGTAAAGAAAAGTCAAGAGTGTTAAGGAGTTTGTGGAAAAAAATGTTTAGCAGTAGATGCAGAAAGGATACATACCATACCACTTTTGTATGGCATCATTTTCTCCAAGAGGGCAGTATCCCCTCTTGAATGTATATTACGTATATTCTCACCTTTCCTTGTGATCCTGCTACCTGAACATTTTCTGATGGATGATCTCGATCTACACATTTAAGTTGCTTTTACCTCTCCATTATTCATGCCACAGAAGTTGAAACCACTTTAGAATTTAAAGTGTCAGTCACCAGACTTCTTCTAGTCTTATTATTTTTTGTGATGAAATGCAGATTTATTAATGCCATAATTCTTTCAAATAGCAGCTTATGTCTTACCAGAAGCAAGCATGTCAAATAATTCATCTTGTTTCCATGATTTCATTATGGTCATCTATTTATGTTGTACTTAAAGAGTCATGGTGCTGGGTAGAGTTGTACAGTAATATCAACAAGATGGCATAATATTCATGTCCTTGATGTGGGACAGATCAATGTGCACATGAGGTGAAACCAAAATGTTGAAGGCTCAGTAAAACAACAAGTTACAAGATTTTTCCCAGTGATTACCTGATCAGCTATGCAACTGCAGTCTACATGCAGATCTACAGTCCTCAGAGCCTGGCTGATCATGATCCTGCCCAAAATGCACAGCATGCTAGTGGCTTTCTTTTGTTCTTAACAATATTACATTACATGTAAACTATATTTTGTACATTGCACAAAGAAATAAAGTTTGTTTGTTCTGAAGAAACTTGTTAAATTTCCTCTTGATGACTTGTGCCACTGTGCCAGCAATGATTTTAACATCTGTTATAAGAAGGTTGAGGCATTGACAACCTCGATGTAGAAACAGTGTTCTACAGTTGCACTTATGGCAGCCCTTCTTTACACTGGGTTGACTCTTCCATTTCTTCCTTTCAAATGTTTCAAGGTGTTTTTTTTTTTTTAATTCATATTTGGCTAGTCTTTGGACTTTTTTTTTTAGTTTGTCTACAATTTTTATTTGTATAATAATAAAATAATAAATAATAGGAAGGGATTCGGGTAAAGCCAATTAGCCAGACTTAAGTGTACAGTGCCTGCACTATACACTTAAGTCTGGCTAATTGGCTTTTTCACCCTACCTCTGTGGGAGACTGTCGATTTTTTTAAAAATAAATAATAACAATAATAATCAGCTTCGGTGGGATATGGCTGGTTTGTTGAAGAAGAAAAACAATAACAACAACAATAATAATGTGTAGTGTAGTCTACGGCCCTATGCTGTACATTCTACAAGAATAATAATAATAATAATAATAATAATAATAATAATAATTTTATGGGAGCAAGGGGCTAGTAACCCCTTCTGTATATATTACAAAGTGTAATAGGAGAAACTTTCGTTTTTTCCTTTTGAGCCACCCCGCCTCGGTGGGATACGGTCGGTGTGTTGAAAGAAAGAATAATAATTTTATTTCAATTCATATTAAGCAAAGACAGTGATTATGTATGAGTGATGATGAAAGTGTTGAATGATGGTGAAAGTTTTTTTTCCCCTTTCTTTTGGGTTTTTCTTTCCTATTGGGTCACCCTGCCCTGGTGGGAAATGGCTGACGTATTAAAAAAAAAATTAGGCACATAAAACTAGTACAATAATTTGAAAGTATTTAAAATATTTCAGTCTTTTAACATTAAAAGACTACCTTTTTTTTGCGGAGCTTTTTGTGCTTATGTGTCTAGCACAAGCTACTGACAAAGTTTACAATAATAGTTAAGATACAACTTACATGATTATTCACTAAAAATTAAAAACTGTAACTAACAAGCCAGAAAAGCTTGAATGATGGTTTAGGAAATTACAATAAAACATTATTTTACAACCAGAAATTGTTCAATAATCATAATTTTAAAGAACAGGATAGAAATGATTGAACTATTTAGGCACACACTACTTGTTTTAGCTTTAATTTGAATTCCCTATGTACGTTGTAGCTTTTAAATTTATCTGATAAGTTATTCTACATTTCAGGCTCTTAATTTGCATACCAACAAAGCATATTTTAATCTTGGTCTACAGTTTGTTGTGAAAATCTTCCTAGGATTTTGCCAAGTACAGGCAGGCCCAGCTTATACAGCAGGTTAGGCTCCAGGCTATTGCTGTAAAGTGAAAAATCACTGTAAAATGAAACAGTCTTTTTCTTGCTTTCAAATGCATATAAAAGCCTGATAACATATTTACATTATCAAATATTAAGTGAGCAATAGAGGTTGGCCCAAAAAAATGCATATACTGTACACAAATTACTTACCTTAAAATATTTTCATTCTTAGTTTACAGTGAGTGGTGAATATACTTATTGTAGGAAGTATGAATAAATGAAGAATGGGTATAATTGAAAACTGCTGCATTAGTGAAATGCCATAAAACAGAGCCTACCTGTACTATACCTAAAGGCTAATTTAAAGTCAGCCAGATTTGGAGTCACATGTGTAATAGTTTAGTGTATTTATTAACAAGACGTTTCACCTGCTGAGCAGGCAAAACATCTCATCAATAAACACATTAAATCATTACTTGTGTGTCATATACATCTACTTGTCAGTACTGTATACAATTAATATAATGACATTAGCAAAGTGTGTTTAGTTATATCACCCTGGCATAAAGTATTTCACTAATAAGATCTCCTAATGACAATTTTATGTAATGATAACTACAAAGTCCCCCATGGGAAGTGACGAATTCTTATCCGTTAAGCATGGTGTTTAAGCGACTAAATCGGACAAGGGCCTAGTAACCCTTTCTCCGATATTCTAATTTAAAGAGAACTTAGTTTTTTTGGGCACCCGCCTTGGAAGGCTGGTAATGTTGAAAGAAGAAGAAAGAACTACATCTTTCTACGTCTTATGCCTTTAATATTAATCAGTCTATATCCATGTGGCTATACCACTTTTTCCCATTCATTACATGGCACATTATTACATTAAATCTATCTCCATACTCCACTTGCTCACTTATCCAGTCTTTTGCAGAATATTCAGATTTTCGCTGCATCTTTCAAGCATTTTGCATATCTGCAAGCATGTTTATAGCTTTCCATTCCTTCTGTAAGTCGTTTAAATATAAAGGTACAACATCGATTTTCTGGACACAGATGGTCCGGAGCCATACAAATTTCAAGCAGGAACTTGAAATTCCTGCAGCAGTGCATTTACCACCAAACTGTACATCACTTATCTAACCCCAAGACCAAGGAATACATACTGCACTGTCTAAAGGCGGAAAAATCAGTAATCCGGAAAAGGCTTTGGAACCAAAGGTCTGAAAAATCGCTGTTGTACCTGTATTAGAAACATTCACATAGATCATATTACCACATAAGGTAATCTTACCTTGTATCACTGTTCACATATTCATTTCAAACAGGAAATCTCTCCTTTACTATAACAGTTTGCCTTTTAATCCTCTGGCATGGGTGAAACACTGGGCATGTTACCTTATACCTGCTGTCCCTGTTCATCTGGCAGGAAGTAGGTACCTGGGTGTTAGCTGACTGTTATGAATTGCACCCTAGGGAAGAAGAACCCCAATGGAAGTAAGACAGACAGTCTCGGATGATGCACTTGACTTTACTGGATTATTCTAGGAGGCTAACCCTAGGGGTTAAAAATCCAAACAAAATCTTATCTTATTCAGATTAGTTCTTTAAGAACTATCAAAAGTAGTATTCTCAAAATCTAAAATGCATTCACCTATCCATTTAATTCACATATAATTGCTATGTAAAGGTAGAAAGTTGAAAGTGAATATAGAAAAGAGTAAGGTGATGAGGGTATCAAATGATTTAGACGAAGAAAAATTG